CGCGCCCCGGGCACACGACCGAGCGGAGCGGCGCGGCCAGCCCCGCGGCGGCGGCCTTCCCGGCCTCGGCGGTGCGCGTGTCCATGTTCTCGTACTCGAGAGAGGACTGAGAGATGCGTCCCTAAGTGGCCTGGAGAGTGCGGGCCTCTTGGTCAAGACGTCGAGGAAAAAAATCGGATGGCATCTCACATATGAATGGTCGTAAAATGGGGAATGGTTTTTATCTTTCTCCTTGTGGCTTTAAGTATGTTTTAAACCTACAGTGAATATTTTGTCTTTTAAAACATTATTTAAAAATCATTTCTACCTGTTTCGGAGGCGGGGTGGCTTATGCAATGGTACAGAGTGGGGGCAGGGGATGCAAAATATATACACGTAAAAAAATCATTGCACACAGAAAACTTCAAGTATTTGATGACTGTCTTTTTTGTTCTTTGTTTTTGGTATCGGGAATCGAGCTCAGGACCTCGCACTTGCCAGGCAGGCGCTTGTGCCGCTGAGCTATATCCCCAGCCTCAAGTATTTGAAAACAGGCATATTTTGAACTCTTAGAAATAAGTTTTAAAAAATAGGTGGATAGGTTTTTTGTAATGCATTAACAATCTCTCTCACAAACCTAATGTGCATTTTCAAACTTCTTGAAATTTTTCAAGACCAGGTGAGGCAGATACTACCAAGCTGTGGTTTTACTATGTCTTTCAGAAAGCAGGGGGTGGGGATGCCGGCCTAGAGCAGATCAATGCTCCCCCGGAAGAAAACAGCAATGAATTTACTTTCTCTTGATTGCATAACTTAATACTCGCAGGATTTCCGTGTAACTTTATATGTTCAAGTATTCTTTGAGATAAGTGAAGCCTAAATTAATTACTTGTAATCGAAGCAAGCTTATTCAATTTGAATTAAATCTTTCCACCTGTTAAGTGAGACTTATGCAAAATGATCTGACCCTGAAAACAAGCCTGGGAGAAATTTCCAAAGAACCTAACACCGGAGAGGCAGAGACACCTGGAATGATATTTCTGTCAAAGGAGATGAGATTGTAAAGTTAACAATTCAGGTTGCTTATTAAAACTACTAGTGCGGACCAAAGTCCTTTCTGAACAACATAGTTAATACCCTCGAGTTTGTAAAGCATTTTGTGTTTCCTTGTTAAGCAAAGAGTTTCCAAGGCTTCAGATTGAATGAAATAACCATTACTTTTACAAAACTACAATTTGCTGGGAGTGATCTTATTTCAGGCAGCTCGGGGTACATATTTCTGGAGGGAGGAGAGCAATATGCTAAGAGTCTAAACATGTTAAAGAAAGAAAAAATAAGCACTAAAGGAAAGCTGTTTGGCTTTGATGGTTCAGGACGAGAAAAGAGGACACCTGTCTCAGACCACCCAGAAGTGCGGCTGGCTTTCTGTTAGTGCCCACCCCCTTTGCCTTGTCCTCTAAATGTGCGCATCGGGCTGTGGGATTACTGGTACTCTATGTTATGAAGTGCCAGAGGAGTGGGAAATTGGAGGTGCTGTTTTTTCTTTCCTTTTTCAGTGCCAGGGGAGCCCATTTACTGCCAGGCTCACTTAGCTGTTATCCCTCCGCCCCCCGAGTTGGTTTCACATTCTACTGACCCTTGGTGCATTTTCATTAAGGTCCGTAGTCATTGCCCTCTTTAAAAAGACAGCCCTCCGTGTGTGTTTGAGGTGTGTCACAATTGTGATAGCTGGTTCCAGAGTCTCACAAAAACAGGCATCTTCCAGGAAGGCTTGACTGCACAAAGTTTAAGGAATGGAGCTGCATTGATTCATTGTTCCACATTTTCTTGCGGTAATCTGTGAAGCTGCAAGACCCGAGAAAGTACCAACTATTTCAAAATCCTCCACCTCTTCCAGGCTTCTTCCTCTCGCTACCACTTCCTCTCCCTTATACTCCATGCTGAAGCCAGTAAATGTTCATACTCCTTCGGAATTTGTTCAGCATAGAGGGTAGCAAGCTTGCAAAGATGCCCCCGCCCCGCGCATCCTGAGCCCGTGCATAGTCCCCTCACGCTGAGTCCAGGCTGGCCCTGAGACTTGAATGCGTGGGAGGACAGAAGTGCCACGATGCCAGATTTCAACCTAAACCTGAAAAAGTCCTGACGGCTTTCAGTTGCATAATCTTGGAAGTCAGCTATTATGTTGGAAGTCTGACTACCTTGAGAGAAAAGCCATATACGATGAAACTTAAGTGGAGAGAGGGGCTATGTGAACCCGGACACCAGATGTGCAAGTGAAGAGACCACCTTGGACCGTCAAGCCGCAGAGGACTTCAGCCCCAGCTGCCATCAGTCTGCAAGCTCAGAAGAGACACTGGAAACAAGACAGTGTAAAACTACCTAGCAAAGCCCAGTCGCCCAAAGAACTGTGAAGGATCATGATTAATAAATTATAATTTGGGGTGGTTTGTTTTACAGCAATAGATAACCAAAATATCATCTATTTGCTTGTTGCTTTTTGATTGCTAACTGCCTCTGAACGCACATACAATGACAGTACTTTGTGAATTAATAGTCTCAGGCTGTCTGAGGCGATTCTTTTTTCAAATGAGATCGGGTGCCTTTAGGGTGGTATGGCCATAGACAGTTCTTTTTTTTAAAGGGAGGAGAACAATATAAGAAATGAAGTATTTTTCCTATAATATATATAGTGCTTGTTGCTATGGTTTTATACCATTAGATAGGTTATGGTGAGATATTCTCTTTATTAAACTTATAAAGCACAGACATTTTATCAGTTAAGTAGAGGGTGGTATAAATGTGTACAGAAGCTCTGACCCTGACATGACCTCATTTACACCAGTTATACAAGATGCTTGCTGAAGAGCTGCGGAGGGAATTCGAACTTAAACAGCACCCTGCCCAGTGGATAAACTGAACTCCAGTGCAACAGTGTTCGAAATACTTGGTGTGTGAAGTTCAAAACACACCCATAACCTGGGTTCCCTGGTCTGCACACCTTGCTGTGCAAACTAGGGCTACAGAGAGCTGGTATATGTACAGAGCCAGTTTTCACTCAAGTAAGTTTCCTGCTTGTGATAGACACAGTGCCCCGAAGGAACAGCAGTGCAGCGAGTTAAGAAACAGGTTTGAAAGAGTTCTTTTCTATTATATGTGTTGATAGCAATAAAAATATGTACGGATAGGAAAAATACTGAATGTGAACACTGCACAGTGTTAATTATTATTAATTACTTGGAGACTGATGATTCTGTTTTTCTCACTTTTGCTTGTCTGTATTTTTTTTCATTTTTGAATTTCCCTGTCTGAATTTTATAAATAAATATGTATTATTTTTAGATGGAGGAGGAGGAGGAAGAGGTGGGGTGAGGGGAATGCTTACTTTTCTCCCAAGCCTCTGGGTTTATTTTATTTTCAAATTAAATTTTAGCTGGGCGTGGTGGCATACACCTGTAATCCCAGCATTTGGGAGGCTGAGGCAGGAGGATCGCTGACAGTTTGAGGCCAGCCTGGGCTACAACCCAAGACCCTGTCTCAAAAAACTAAAAGCAGAACAAACAAAAAATCAAATTAAATTTTAACCACAAGTTTTGCCAATCTTCCCATCTATATGTACTTCAGTGGAGCCTGGAGAATTCTCCCACATCTTTTAGCAGTGGTTGTGGAAAGGGCTAAAGATCCTTTTCTCTTTCATTTTGCTGCTGTATTTGCAAAGGTCCACTCAGCGGTATAGGAGTTTGCAGATAAAGATGGAATTTTCTAACCTGAGACTAATAACCGCAGCTTTGGAGTGATGTTCAGAGTTGCCCAAGTCTGTGTAACACTGCTGGCTGAGAAAAACAAGTAAAATACAGAAAAACACTTAGGCCTAGAACTATCAGCAAGGCTGACTTGAAATATTAGTGAGAGGAATAGGAGTTCAAGTACTTTCATCTTTGTATTTTTTTGGATTGTTCAAATCTTTATAGAAACTATAGGATGGGGGAAGATAAACTTTTTATTTTGGACAAAAAGTAGGATGCAGCGAATGGAAGAGAAGAGCATCTTCGTAAACAGGCCTTGCAGATTAAGTATGTAACGTTCTAGAACGGTGGAAAGTGAAAAGGGAAAGTAAGCTTTGCTAAGGGGTTTGTTTTCTGGAATTTTTATTTTTTATTACATGGACTTTCACTTTGCCGTTGGAGGAATGTTAGAAACAAAAGAACGCTTTGGCCTCTGTCTGGCCCTGAGATGCGAAGTACTTTTCCTTTGGATGCTCGACTTTGATCTACAGACAGTGGCTGTCTACAATGTTCTGCTGAGGAGTATTCAAAAGCAGCTCCCCAGTTTGGTAGAAAAAGTTCAGTGGTTGATGAACAATGTCTGCTACAGGCACAGAATTACCTGGACTGGTGGAACTTACCAGATATGGTCCCCTGATCTAGTTCAACCTTCTACTTTTACATTTGAGGGAACCAAGGGGTCAACTGGTTACCAGTGATCACAGAGGTGGCTGTTAACAGGGCCAGAAATAGAATAACATTTCCTGACTCCTGGTATTATGTTCTTCCCACTTAACTACTTGAGTTGCACTTTTGAAGTCAAATCTTGTCCTGAACCACACTAAAGGGTCAGGTATAAATTTTATTTACTTATTGTCACAATATGTTTGGAGGGATTAACAGACCAGTTTATTAGTGATAATAATTATTACATATTTTATAGATATTTCATGTAAGTCAAAGAGATATGTTTGTACTTAATGTTATAAATCAGCAAGTACAAGGCCAGGCATGATGCCCCATGCTTATAGTCCCAGCATTCTAGAAGCTGAGGCAGGAGGATTGCCGTGAGTTTAAGGCCAGACTGGGCTACCTATGAGTTTGAGGGCAGTCTGAACTACATAGCAAGACTGTCTTAAAAAACCAGAAGCAAACAAAGAAAGTTCAAGAAAATTGCTATCTGAAAAGGGCTGGTTTCAAAGCCCAGACTTAGTCCACACCAGGTCAGGCTTCTGTAGAATCTCTTGGCTAGTGTTGTATTTACTGAGAGTATTTATGACAGAGCTCCCTCAAGATTACATTTTTCCACATTGTATTTAATTAATTCCCTGTGGACGCAAAATGTTTTTCACTGGAGGGAAACCTTGCAAACAAATGTGAGAACAGGATTTCTGCATTAACAACTGAAAAGGGAAAGGCAGGGAGAAAGTAATTTTTTTCTTGCAAATGGAGCCTCTTCCATTGAATGGCAGGGCTTCTATTTTTCTCTTTTAATAAAAGGGTCTAGAGCAGGGTACAAGAGATTGAAAAGACTATAAGCTATTGGAACCCTTGCACTTCTTCCAATAAATTAAATTCCTTTAGTTGTATGTTCTCAAAAAGCCTAAACTGCAGGTAAATCATAATAGACTATAGATTTTTTTTTTTTTTTTTTTTTTTTGGTACTGGGAATCCGACTCAGGACCTTGTGCTTGCTAGGCTTGTGCCACTGAGCGATGTCCCCAGCCCCTAATTATAATAGTTTGATCTAGCCCTCCCTCCTGGTAAGATCCAGGTAACTGTTCATCGTATTTTCCTTCTCATAATCAAAGATGGAACATTTCAATCCCAGGCTCATAAACAAAAAAAATTTATGTTGATAAACTTATTAATTTTCTTGCCTTTTTTGCCTGTTAACATTTACTGTGTGTGTACTGTATATCTTAGCCATTAATTTTTAGCTCCTTTATTTCTCTGTAATTATATGAGGGCTAGGAATAGCAATAACAACCAGAAATAGAAACAACAAATATTTACTGATTGCTGGGGGATCTTGTACTTTATATGAATGAGTTCATTTAATTCTCTCAGAAAACCAAAGACAAGTTATTACCCCCACTTTAGAAATGAGGAAATGGCTGGGTGAGATTGAGCACGCCTGTAGTCCCAGAACTTGGCAGACTGAGGCAGAGGGAGAATCACCACGCCAGCCTGACTGAAATACATAGCCAGACCCTGTCTTAAAAAAAAAAAAAAAAAAGAGGAATGAGGATACTGAGAGCTGAAGAGGCTAAATAATTCTATCTATGGTGAAACAGTAAGTCGCGGAGTAAGCCCACGCATACCATGTCCCATGGTGTTTTAACTAATCACAAGAGTTAGTTAGATTTGGATGGTGGAAATGATTTGCAGTGTTTGGCCAAAAGCCATCCAGGCAATTTATTATTCATTAAAAAAAAAACAACCAGTTGAATACTTAGTGAAGATCACCATGCTTGGGGTCTGAGGAAAGGTGAAGCGGAGTTAAATATGGGTTCTGCCTTGAGGTTTTAATAGTGCAGTAATGACTCACCACTGTTGGCTAGAGCGAGCAAGTACTGAAGAAGCAGGCCATTGACTAGTCCAGTCTAATAGCAGGAAGCCAGGGTTTTCTCTTTTCGTATCATGCAAACTCAATACAATTTTTAATTTTGTGTGCGTGTGCATGTGTGCATGTGTGCATGTGCAGTGGTAGGGGATAAGAACCAGGGCTTCCTATGTTCTAGGCAAATTATTTTCTTTTTCTTTCCTTTTTTTTTTTTTTGAGACAGGGTCTCACTCTGCTGTTCAGACTGGACTTGAGCTCACTTTGTAACCAAGGCTGGACTTGAACTCGCAAGGATCCTCCTGCCTCAGCCTTCTGAGTGCTGGAATTACAGTTGTGAGTCACCATGCCCAGTGCAAATTATTTTCATTAAGGAAAAAAACCCCAGATTTATTGAGGCATAAGTGACCATAAATGAGACATATTTAAAGTATACAATTTGAGGGGCTGGGGATTTAGCTCAGTGGCACAGTGCCTGCCTGGCAAGCGCAAGGTCATGAGTTTGATTCCCGGTACCAGAAAAAAACAAAACAAAACAAAACAAAAAGTATACAATTTGATAAGCACATCACAGTGAAATAATGAACATATACACCCCTCTCAGAAATTTACTTTTGCCTAATTTTAATGCTGCTGTTTCTGCATCACTTTTCATCCCTATGCACCCACTGATCTAGTTGTCATAAGATGAGTTTGCATACTCTAGGATATTATGAATGGAATCATATAGTGTGCACTTTGAAAAAAATCTAGCTTCTTTCATTCAGCATAACTGAGATTCACCTACATTGCTGCATGTGTCAGTAATTAATTCCTTCTCATAGTTAAGTAGTACTCCACTGTGTGAATGTATCAGAATTTGTTCATCCATTCACATGTCATTAGGCTTTGGGTTGTTTCCATTTTTAGCTATGTCTATTATATTCATGTCTGTTATATTCCCATCAACAATCTATAGAGTTCAGGTTCCTCTCCAACCTTGCAAAGGGGAGTGTATATATATATACATATATACTTTTTAATGACTAAAGATATTGACTTTCTTTTCATGGCATGATATTTTAATGTATAATGTAGCATTTTGTATACATGGTTTTATATTCTATACTGAGAGGAAAGGTTTTATCCCTATA